CCCGCACTTGCACCACCTATTTCAAGATTTCCGAAAGGTGATCAGTTAATGACGTATCGATCACAAATGTTAGGTGCAATAATCACCTGGCAATTTCAGGTACCCATATGCATTCTGGTTTCTGGTGCCGATAATTGCTCCGATGGTTGGTGCAGTAGTTTTTGCGTGGAGTTACCATTTGTTCGCGGGAATGCATATTCCTGATGAAGAATATAACATCGTTGCTCAGCATGGGCCCGAAGATCGGGAAGTGATCATTAACAAGGAAGGACCCAGATAAGTCGTGCTTCAAGATGACCAATCAAAGTTTCGTTCTTGCCAAATCGAAACGCTGAATCTCAGATCATATCTGTATAAACTTTTGTTAGCAGTATTTCTACGTGTTTATCAGGCGGTCGACTTTTTGTAACCATGGAGTTTTAACATTATATTGATTGTAAATATTATCACCACTATTATCAGTTGTGGACATTGTAGGAATATGCCTAACAAAAAAATGCGCACAGAATAAGCGAAAGACGGCGCAATTTTATTTGATACCGGGCAGAAATTGGGAAAAGGACACAGTTTATGAAAATGAGTTTGACGCGTAATTATCTGGGCAGATAAATTATAAGACCCAATGCTGAAAGATGGAAAGTTGCGATCAAGAGAATAAATGGGACAAAAATAATTTTCTGCCAGAGGCCACTTTCAAAGTAAATAGAGCTACGTGACTACCCTTCCACCAACTTTGGGCTGAGGCAGTGTGGGCCGCTTCTCATCGTGGCCAAAATTTGGTGTCTACGAGAAAGAAAAGATCTCAAAAAAATCTAATCAGTAGTTATTTGCTCAAGTAGAAATATGATGCAGAAAGAAAAACTAGTTTGCGAAATAGGAATATAATTTTTAGCTGAATGAAAGTCTTGCGGGATGTTTCGTTATACAAATAAGCTGAGATGCAAAAAAAAGCATCCGGATTTTTTGAAAATAATAAGAGGCAATTAAAGTAGGTTAGGAAATTTCATTTCTTGTATTCATGTTAGAATACAGTAAAACTGCTTCATTTTTGAAATCAGGAACTTAGAAATGTTATTTCCTGTAATATTTTGAGAATGGTGCAAAAACAACTGCTAAAACAGCTCCGTACAGCTGTGGAACGAAAAACGATTTCAGTTTTGTTTTCAAGACTAATTCAAAGTACCTGAAATCTAATAGTCGAGCGTGCGAGTTCAAGCAAATGAG